GAGATCCAACTAATCCATTATAAAAAGTTTGAATTATTAACCAATCTGGTATAGCATGGTGTTGATAGTTTCTTAAGAGTTCTTTAAATCTTTCCCATGCTTCATAAATAGATTCCCCTTCAAACTGATTAAAAGATGTAATATCATTTCTAAGCCTCGCAGTTTTTTATGGTGAAAAATATTTAGTAAGAAATTTTTGTACTAAATCACCCCAAGTTCTTATAGATCCAGGTGCTAACGCATTCAACCACATCTTAGCTTTATCCCTTAGTGAGAAAGGAAATAACCTAAGTCATATGACATCATCTGATCCACCATCGTATTTAAATGTAGCGCACAATTTTAAAAAATTGGCAAGATGTAAATTTGGATCTTCAGTTGGTGATCCCCCAAACTGATTATTTGATACTATTTGGATAATAGCAGGTTTAAGCTCAAATGAATTAGCCACTATAGTAGGTTTTTGAATACTATAATGAAATTCATCTACAGTAGGGTTAGCATAATCTCTTAACAATCTAAACTCTTAATGAATTTCAACATTTTGATCGTTCTGGTCTACCATTTCTGTATTTATTTTTAGATTTTTCAAGATTTTTTTGATTTTTCTAATAGTTCTCTCAAATTTAGAATCGTAGGACACTAGTCCTTCAGACCCTGAACTACACATACACTAACATATAATAAAACTAACATATAATATACACTAACATATAATAAAATAAAAATAAAAATAAAAATAAACACACTCAAAATAAGATACAATAACTTTTAAAGTTTAAATAAAACTTTCTAAAACTAGAAATTTACTTTTAAAATCAATCTCTCCCCAGCAACGACGCCAAAAACTTGATCCCGGATTACTGATTATATGCAATAGTATAATAATAATTTTGATTATATTTTTCACTTATATTTCCTTACTTTACAACAAAACCAAAAACTTGATCCTAAAGAAAAATAAGAATTTAACTTTTAATTTTTATATATTGAGATACTACGCAAGTATACTTATCGTTATCAAGTAATATAGGACTTTTTGATTAAGACATGAATATGAACACACAGGGAGATTATGCAATATGCAAATTTACAAACTTTTTATTAAAAAAAACAATTATTTAAACTAAAGATAATTCTTGCATAAACTAAAGTTTAAATATTTTTGGTATTTTCAATATTTTGATAGAACAATAATAATTTAAAAAGATAACTAGAGTATTTGTAGAAGAAAAGCACTAAAGATGATAACTA